AGTTCAAACCATTCAAGGGATAACTAGAGTTGCTAAACGTGGAGACAATGTTACCCAGACTACTATTGATGTAATATTCACTAACTGTTATGCAGATTTTGTCCAATCTTCTGTTCTTGATGAACGTATTGGAGATCATCAAGCTATTATGTGTGAGATAGATTGTAAAGTCAGTTAAACAAAAATTTCAGTTAAACAAAAATTTCAATTTTATGCCATTTATTACAGATTAAACAAGTTTACAATAAATCAATTTGATATTTAACAGAATCCTAATTCAATGGGCAGTATGGTTGTCACTCTTTAAATAGATTAGATATAGGTTGACGGGGCAAAGGAGTGTGCGTGCTGTTCGCTATTGCTCACACCAAACGGCAACCTAGTAAATGTTTTGTATGAACACCGGTCTCCATCACGATACAAAATTAGGATTTTGGAATTTATTTTATAACCTACAAGGAGTGGAGGTATCGGTGTGGTGCATTAATAGAGTGACAGCCTACTGATTTAGAGTTGTGTTTAAGTGAGCATAATGGGTGTGTTTTTGGATCTAATGGCAACTTTAAAATTTGTTCTTTTAATCATTTATTAAATATCAGTTTAAAAATATATAAATCTGGAATCTGTTCACTCTGTGAACCAGTCCTATAAAAATTTCAAAACCCTCCTAAATTAAATATTAAAAACGTCTCAGTAATGGAAATAGTCATACAATTAAGAAATTAACCAAATTCTTAATATCTACCTAAGAGAAAAATACCTACCTAAGTCAATTTCTACCTGTAATACACTAAATATTAGGTTAAATACATAGGTGGTGGAGTCAGCACACATTTACCAAAATCAAATTTGTTTAATAGGAGGAGCCTGTGGGCCGAGATCACTGGATTAAATTTGATGAAGGGGATTGTTTTCAAATGACAGCTGCATTATGTCATAATCGCTTGTGGTCCATGCCGAATCATTATAAGCATGTTGCAGCTTTAGAAGTGCCTTTTTCAGGCGACTTTTAGCAAGGCTAATCTTGTAGGAGTAGTCAAAGAGCTTAAGTTTAGGTGCAATTGTGTTCCAAATTTTGGTGGATCTTGATATAAAGTCATTAGATGGGAGTTGTGAAATGATAGTGGTTTCCTTTCTAAAAGATGACTGATAATGCTGTTGCAGTGATGCTGGGCACCTTAGTTTTAGTATTTTAAAAACTTCCATAAATGTGTGATATGTATATAAATTTTTGAAAGCCAGGATGTTTTGTTGCTTGAAAAGTGGTTTACAGTGCTCTAGTTGGAAGAATGTATGGTCAAGTGCCTGGCTGTCAAACTCTCTTGTTCTTGCACATGTAAGGAACTTGTTAAGGTATGCCTCTTTGTCACCAAAGAGGACCCGTACACAGTGCCTATAGCTCCTAAATTTGAGAAGGTTGAAATTAGAAATTATTGTAAACGTAATGTTAAACAATTCTTAGACTATCTAGATACCTGTTCTGATTACAGTCCACTATTGGAAAGTACAGATGTTGAAGCTATCACTGCTGGCCTTTGTCATCATATTGAACAGGCATATGCAACCTTCTTCCCTTGCAAGACCATAGAAAAGCATGAAAAGTTCATACATAAACCTTCTACTGAACTTTTAAATGCCATTAATCATACACATTTTCTTCTAAAAAAATTCCGTAAAAAGAAGGATAAGAGAGACAATGGAAATTGCAATAAATGTGGTACATGTAGCAAATGTATAAAGTGTAATGAGGCCTGGGATTGCTACAAGATTCAGAGAAATATTAGAAATAAATTAGCTAAAACCTGCAAAAAGGCTAATGTAATCGATGATCTACAAGTTAAAAGTGCCAAGAATGATCTTAAAGGGATATGGAAAACTATCAAACTGGCATCAAATATGACCCCTGGTACAACTAATTGTCAAACTATCAATGAGAATGATCCTGAGCTATTTAACTTTCATTTTGCAAATGTTGGATCAAGATTACAAAATCAGGCCCCCAATATTGAAAGAGTTAGTTTTACTGATTTTTTACCTCCTAGAACTTCTAATATCTCATTTGATAGATTCCAAGAAATAAATGAAACTGATATCCTAATGTATGTCGAAACGCTCAAGAATGACAAGGCCTCATATGACAATGTGCCTCTATTTTTACTTAAGCAAGCTGTACCACACATAGTTGAGCCACTGACCCACATTGTCAATCTGAGCCTTAATACAGGTGTTGTACCAACCCTTTGTAAAAAAGCTAGAGTAACTCCCATCCATAAGGCAGGAATGAAAGATGATCCTAATAATTACAGGCCAATATCCATCCTTCCACTTGTAGGAAAACTTATAGAATACTTTGTCGGCAAGCAACTCACTGATTACATGGAAGAGAACAAACTTTTCATCCGGCATCAATATGGCTTTCGGAAAAATCACTCCACAACTTATCTGATGTACGATCTGATGGACGAAATATATATGAGTAAATCTAAGTCTTATAAACCAGGAATCATCTTTCTTGATCTTAAGAAGGCCTTTGACACAGTGAATCATGAAATATTGCTTCAAAAATTGGCATATTATGGAATTGGTGGCATTGCTTTAACCTGGTTTAAGAACTTCTTATCTTGTAGATATCAATGCACTAGGATCAATGGCAATCTAAGCTCATTTTTAGAAGTTCTGAGTGGTGTACCACAAGGAAGCATCATTGGGCCTATATTATTTAGTATCTTCATAAATGACATCATTTATGCCTGTAACCTATCTAAGCCCTTTCTATTTGCAGATGATGGTGCACTATTCTTTGATCAAACCTGCAGAAGCACATTTATAAACATGAAAATAGAACTTATGACAATCTTTAAATGGCTCAGTGTTAATAAATTATCACTCAATGAAAAGAAGACTGAATTCCTATTGTTTGATTCTGTTGACCAACATGATGAAATAACGATTGATTGTAATGAGGTAACTTTCACAATCAAGGAGTGCAAAGAGACAAAATATCTTGGCCTCATTCTAGATAGTAAATTAAACTTCAAAAGCCATGTAGATTATATTATTAGGAAGGTCATGAAGAGAATTGGTGCCATGTATAGAAGTAAAGCACTGCTACCCATTAAATATAGGAAAATGTTTGCCAATGCACTCATGTTGCCACAATTCGATTATTTAGACACGATCTATTGTAGAGCTGGCAAGACAAAACTTGCTGAACTTGACACTCTGTACAAAAAGGTAGCCAAAATAGCTCTCAACGTTCCAAAAACAGAGAGCAGCCTTAATGTTTATAGAGACATGAAATGGTTACCACTCCATCTTAGACGACAACTTCATCTGTCAAATTATATGTTTAGAATCATCCATGACAATTGTCCTACAAACTTTATGAACAAATTTAGTTACACATCAGGAGGTAGTAGGAGCGGCGAAAGCTGCAACCTTTATGTCAATAGATCAACATCACATAAAAACTTTCAATACTTGGGGGCAAAATGTTGGAATAATGTTCCAACAGATCTACGAAATCTGCCCGATGTTAAAAGCTTTAGTGATTCGTATAAGAAACAGCTACTATCATCTATAACAACAGACCCTAATTATACCGTCGACAATTCATATGACAAATTTTACACTGCAATCATAGTCGCTGATAACTAAGTAACTTCTAATTCTTTTAAATCTGAGGCATATATAATTGATGTATCGAAAAGATATTCCCTTTTTTACCACCTTACCATTCTGATTGATTTTGCACATGACTGACATGTTTTAACTGGAGAAGGGGTTCCCACAGTGGTAGTTTTATAAACCACTTTTAATTTATTGACCTATTATACTTAGTGGTAGTTTTATAGACCACATTTAATTTATTAACTTATCATACTTAGTATTTTTTTTGGTGACTGTATCACCCAGTTTTAACATTTGATAATTGTACAGTTTATTGACGACACATTGACTGAATGTTATTTTATATTCTAATTTATATTCTAGATATTTTATTTATTTTACAACAGACGACAACTTCCTGTTTTTTCTTTTCTTCTATATTAGTTACTCATATCTCTTGTACAGACTTTTTTCAAGGACGTTGACAAATGATACTCACATTAGGCATTCATTATTGCATCTAAATTATTTCACTTGCATTAGGCTTAGAAATTTATTCTCTGGTCAACAGATTTCAAATGTTTAATTAATTTGTAGTATGACAGTAAGGTATATAAGAAGTTATTTAATTTTGCTTGGGCTATTATATTGACTAGGTATTGAGGTTTAATGATGATATGGAATTTGAATTCTATATAAATTTACACTATGTGGTTGGGGCATTTTGCATAGTAAATATGGTTACTACTCATATATATCATATTATTTGATTGGTATTCGATTTCTGATTATTTCTCTAGGAATATGATTATTATATCTCAATTTGGCTTTAGGTAGGGTGCCCCGCTAAAAGAACTGGATTCTTCCAGGAAGCATCCCGTGCACAGAGCTTGGTCTACATATATATTAAATTATTAACCATTCATTCTGTATGTGCACGAAAATTTATTTCAATCAAAATAGATGAACATATTATAAAGATTTCAAATTAATCCTGGAAGCAATGGACCATTTCTGTTTCCGGTGTCAATTGCATCACTCGATTTGATTGAATGTATCCTGAATGTACCATTTTGTTTTACACTTTGAATAGGATACAACTTTTTTTATAGTATTCAACGATAGTCGTAATCCTGAGGATAATTTTGAAAGTTGATTAAATAGAATTCCGAATAATTTATAAATAATTCGGAATGATTTAGAGATGTAATGATATACAAATAGATCAATTTCGTTGGGTTCTGATTAATTTGGGGTCATGAACAAACCAGCAACGAGGGATAAGTCAAACATCTGAAGTGTTTTGATGTTGATTTTTAAAACACACATCGACTATGCTTATTTATCTGAATTCTGTTAATGTAAGGGAGGACATCCAACTGTATTAATATTATAAACAAATTTTCAGCCAGTTAACCCATGTCAGACTACTTATAAAGGTGGCTGGGAACATTGGATTATAATACTGCAAGACAGTAGTTACAGAATACATCAACACATCTCATCGCTTTGGCTACATTATTGCTTCCAATCAGCAGAGTGAGACGTCTCTCCTCATCAGAAATATGAAAAAAATTACTGCTGTACTCTTTTTGATTGCACTTTGTACTGTCTGGGTTTTCAAAGTGGAGGGTGATGTGTCAGTAGCAACGGAAAATCAAGTCGTTTTAATTGTTGACAGTGAAAATACAACATTACTTGAGCCTGTAAAACAATCAGTTCCTGATGTTCCTGATGTTCCTGCCACTAAAGAACCTTTATCAGGGGCATTAATTGAAAAGCAAAATAGTTTCGCAATCTTCTTTATTTTGTGTGTACTGTTTTTCTCTATACTGTTGGTATACCTACTCATCAAATTTCATTTCCACTACCTACCTGAAAGCATTGGGATTGTATTCCTTGGAGCTATTATTGGTGCTTTGTTCCAGGTCCTCAACTACTTCGAACTGGCTGATTTTAAAGAAGAAGAGATGATGAGTCCCACTATCTTTTTCCTGATTATGTTACCACCAATTATTTTTGAAAGTGGTTACTCATTACACAAAGGGAACTTCTTTGCCAACTTTGGCTCCATTTTCACCTATGCCGTGCTAGGAACATCTGTTTCTGCCATCACAATTGGAAGTGGACTATTTGTGCTGGGAATGGCTGATGTCGTCTATCCATTCACACTTAAAGAAAGCTTAAGTTTTGGAGCTCTCATTTCTGCTGTGGATCCAGTCGCAACCCTGGCTATATTTCAATCAATTGATGTGCACCCAACATTATACATGTTGGTGTTTGGAGAATCAGTGCTAAATGATGCAGTTTCAATCGTAATGTGTGACTCTGTGATAAACTTTGACGATTCTACCAGTACCGCTTGGGCCGTAACACTTGGTGTTGGAAGCTTCTTGATGAAGTTCACAGTTTCCTCTCTGGTTGGTGTAATCTTTGCACTAGCTCTGGCACTTATTCTGAAATATGTGCACCTCAACAAAGTACCATCCTTAGAATTCTGCACAGTTGGATTGTTTGCATACGGACCTTATTTCCTTGCAGACGGACTTAACTATTCAGGTATCATGGCAATATTAGCAAGTGGCATAGTCATGTCCCACTATGCTCATTTCAACCTATCCCCCGTAACTCAGATCACTGTTCAACAAACCTTCAGGACATTTGCCTTCCTAGCTGAGTCTATGGTCTTTGCATATCTTGGGATGGCTATTTTCAGTTTTTCCCACAGTTTCAAGCCAGCGTTTGTTATCTGGACTCTCATATTGTGCCTTGTTGGACGAGCTATAAACATTTTCCCTATCAGTGTTATTGTGAACAAATTTCGTGAGCATCAGATAGACTTTAAGAAGCAGTTTATTATGTGGTTCTCCGGTCTCAGAGGGGCCATTGCATTCTCGCTTGCACTCCATCTTCCGTTCCCCAACGAGAAACGGAGAGTTATAGTCAGCACTACACTGGTAAGAAAACGTTTACTCATTTTTTCAATCATTGAAAAACATTAAATACCTTCTTACTCTATTTGTTGGTTGACTTATTTTCCAGAGTTTCATTTTTAAATTTTGGTCATACAATGTTCATTTTCAGGTGATAGTTCTGTTTAGCATTCTATTTTTTGGAGGTAGTACAATGCCACTTATGAAGCTGCTCCAAAACGTTGATTCTGATGATAAAATTCCCACTAAACACAAGAAGCTTCCTCAAAGTGATGATGATAGTGATGAAGATATTGTAAGTTTATAAGACGAACTGTATTAAATTGAATAGTGTATCAACTATCTAGGTGTTAAATGAGACAATAAACTTCACCATAATATATTCGATTGTCAAAGTTTAAAGTTTTGAAGATGAAAATTGACATTCCATAACCCAGACGCAGGATAAACAGCGCAAGGCACGCTTTACGAGTTTTTCGACTCATGTAAGCAGTGTAGCTTTAGTACCTCTTATCTGCTCCCCTTGCTTGTGTTCCGCTTGATTCTTGTTGCAAATTCTAATTCTCTGCCTTTGAGAAGAGTGCTGTGTGAGGCTCCTGAATACTGAGTGGATCATAAAAAACAGCAAAATGTAAAGTGTATGTGCAACATCTGCAGTATTATATCGTGTGAAAAGTGCATATATTTCTTATCTAGCAGTCGACTTGCACTGTATACTGTGATCAGCCTTTGCATCTGGTTTTAACACGAAATTCTTTCAGAGCAAACTGATTATTTGTTATCAAAATTCATACAACTAAATAGTGATTTTAAAACTTTGAGTTTTAGTAATGAAGCTATGACATATTCGATTTATTATCGCTAAACGGAGTGTTGTATCTTATATGTTAGCCGTACGTGTTATTTGATTATCTTGTGACTCAAGATTAGATTACAATGCAATGGAATGTTCACGACAGTGTGTATATCCTTTAAGTTTTTATAACTTATAGTATAGATAATTCGCTTATCATTGCTGGAGCGTGCAGTTTGCAAACCCCCAATACATCTTATTAAGTATTAACCTAAATTCCTGAAAATATCAGTGCTCATTCCAGGTGTAATATTACTTTTATATTCAAACCTATCGAAAATATGCAAATATTTCGGTACACGATCGAAGTCCAGCACAAAGCAGTCCGTTAATTCACTGTAGATACATTATCCTGGGTATCTAATACCCAGTGTAATAAGTTACACTAACAAATTTGAAGCTAAGCGCTTTTATTGCGACTTAATACTTTAAAACAACTTAAACAGATATCTGCCAAGCATGCCAGCTAATGTTTTAATGATGTCTGTACCTCTCAATATTAGCACATAACATCAAAGAACTGTAAAACCACCCTATAGCTATGCCTGACTGTTTCTCTTCAGGAGGACAGCGAGGCGGACGAGGAGTACCCCCTGTCTAAAACAATGGAGATGGGCCGGAGTATGGAGGCTAGCCAGATCCCAGGAGAGAGTGAGGATATCTGGCACGGAACCAAGGGCTTCACTGTCCTGGACAACAAATACTTCATACCTTTCTTCCGGAAAAAGTGAGTGAACACAATATTTATCTTCAAATTAGCTAAATAAATGAGGGTTATATGGTTATAAGACCCAAAATGTGGCAATCCTTTGTTAACTGATTAATGTGTATGTACTATGTATAAAGAGTGTGGTAATCAAACTACCATACAAGTTGCTCAGGTCAGCCTTTGTTAAATGTTTAACTAGATGTCACTTTACTGTCTTCCCTCTCTCTCTCCTTCCCACAGACAACTTGACAATCTGACCTTACTGTTTATTATAAGATAAATCCAATAAGAACCACTCAAGAGGCTGAAACCACAATAAAGTTGCTCATTATTACTGATTAGAAGGAGTTATTAATTTATTGTGAGATGATTGCCCTGAGAATCATGAAGATCACTAACCCTCGGCGAGTTTAATTACTCTAAGTATAGTATAAAGAGGTAATAATTAAACTAAATATCACCACCAAGAAGGTAGCCTCCTCCACAGCACCTCCCCGCCTCCTCCACAGGAGCTCCCCGTGTGGTTTCCTTAATAACGGGTCTCTATTCTCTACCTACACAATAAGCCTAACCTAGAGAACAAAAACTTAGTCTTTTTATATTCGTGGAATGTCTAGGATATAATATAGACAAATCTGAGGACTACTTTGTGTACACACTACACAGTAATGACTAATGAGTGTGTCTTTTATTCGTCCTTTTTTATGTTTATTTGTCCTTCATCATATTTTACATCTTTTAATTGTGCAGGTTTACGAAGCAGGAGATAAAAGACGCGTATACGAAGATGCAGGACCTGACTAACCAGTGGCACAGTGACGTGGAGGGAGGAAAGCTGAGTGATGAGCGGGACTGTGATGAGTCTAGTTTGTGAGGAGATGATCATGTGGCCCAGGTTCGTCGATTTTTTAAAGTTGTGGTTTTAACATCATGAACACTAGGCACAGGCACTGTAAATTGCCTTGTGGCAGCCGAAAGTTAAATTATTAGTTCGATCGTTACTTTGAGTTCTGTACAGTATTCGGGACATCAAATAAAATCTCTCGTATGACTACTGACTAGAATTATAATCATTGCTAGTCTTTGAAATTTGGCAAAGGATCGAAATTTGTAAGCTGAGTTAAATACGTTTTTGGTTCGAAATCTTTCTAGTTTATTTTAAATCTCCCTTCGTGGACATGGTATGCGTTATGTATTTAAACGATTTTTGTTGCTAATTATGATTTACCATCGAAAGTCGAGACCTTACAACCATCAAAAAATTGTGCTCCATAATTCGATTCATGCCTTCTGACCTTAAAGTTTAAAGATATAACTCGAAAAATCTATCAAATTATGTCTGGGAAGTCTTGATACCGTCGTTGATCTTTCAGAATTGTAAAATGGGTGGTTGAGATAGTTAAAATGTCCAATATTTTAAAAACATTTGCGTTTGATATTATAAGAGCTTCAACCACATTTTTGAAGGTCTTTAAAATCAATCCAGGTTCAGAACATAATATAATATATCAAGTTCATCCCACCCTTGATGAGCTACATCGTGCAATTCTTTTTATGCATGATATAAAAAGCCCAAAAAGTTTATGTGCTGTCGCATGGTGGTGCTACTACCACCGTGCTACCTGACAACGTATATTGTCAGGTACTACCACCGTGGTACCTGACAACGTATACTGTCAAACTTATTTACTGTTCTATAAACCAATTAAATCTGCACTGCCCTGCGAATTGTGTCTAAGTTATTAATATCCGGCCGGATCTAACATTGGCTGTAACATGCAATAATGAAAACAATAAATTTTTCGCGGAAAGAGTAAACAAACAGTTTTACAATCAACTTATTCAACATTACAATTAAGGCAATGTATTATGTATCTATGTATTACTTATTATGCCCGCATGGAAAATCTATAAGCCTTGTAGTCAAATACAATTGCTGTCTACTAACGATTTGTTCTATAGATTTAAAACCTGAAATTCTACAGGTCTCAGAAGAACGAGAAGAGTTTCAGAATATTTGAAAGTTATCAGCTAATAAGCTGGCGATGAGATAAGGAACACCCTGTCACGGACCTGGGATGAAACATCTTCGTCAACGCAAAGCGGAAAATAACGATACCACCAGCTATAGCAGCAGTCAACTATCTGTATGATATCACAGACGGATCTATCGGGACAGCTGTTTATTTCCAAGTTAAATTGTTATTAATATTCAAGGATATTATTATGTTGCAGTGATAAAACAGTGGATGATTTGTTTCTGAAGTTAAGTTTTCCAGATTAGTAGATCTAACACAGACCCTAATCTTGTAGTCATTTGTAGAATCTAAGGTCATAGGACACCTTCGCAATACACTTAATACTCTCAATCACGACCTAGAATATTAGTTTTCCAAACTCCCATTTGAATAACAAGCCACATGCTAGATGAAACTGAAACTCTAGTATCTTTAAGAGCTGTTCTAGTGCACTCGATCATGTTGTAAACCAGTAACCACAGATTAGATTTTATTAGCTCAACCACACGTCTGACGGTATGATGATAAAACAGGTGCGATTAGAGCCACCTTCATTATATCGGCAGATTTCGTCTTGCTAAACAAACAAAATCCAATGCAATCAGATGTCATATCAGTCCGGTAAAGTTCTAGATTGTTCCCCATTGTATCGTGACTCCTGAGTTGAATCTCCACAACTTTTCCAATCAACGAACAATAGAATACTCCAGGTGTTTTAGAAGTTACAGTGTCATTGTGCGCCAGCCCTCACACAATCTTGTGAGATTAAATTCTATATTCCACAGTGGAGTTTATATTCTATAAGGCTTACATTGTAAACCTGATAGTTGAGAACTCTGGCCGCTCTTTATTAGACTTGAAAAATGTGTTAATTTTCACACCTCAGATCAAGTAGTAGGTGTTGGTGGTCAGCTGGTTTTGCATTATGGCATACTGTTCTAGTGGTGTAGAGCTGGGAGAAATGAGAAAAGCAGGAGACTTTTATTATAATAATGTTCGGTTAAATGTATTAGTACACTGATTAATGATAATTATACATCACACTTTAGGAGCGAGCCTGAACATTTTCACCATGAAAAGTCTCCCTAGAGAGGCTCTAGACTCTATTATGCGATATATAACGAAAAACCTTCACCAAAATTCAGTACATGATACCGCAGTTCCATAACCTCACCACAATACACAAGAGTTGGTAACCCAAGTTAACCACATTTGAGAAGTAGCACTTCCCTCGCTGCAGTAAAACCATGCAAGCCAATGTGTGAAGAGCTTCAACAGACCACGTGACTGTTTATCTCTAACATACCACATTGTAAGGTTTACAGATCTGCCCTGCACTGCAGATCTGGCGCTGCTTTGTGAGCTATAAATAGAATTGAGAGTAAAAGAGCTCTTAAAGTCTTTATCTGTGTTTTAAGAGGGCTCTACTGACCCCACCCACGCCCCTGCCATAACGAGAACTAGATTAATGATCTTTGTAGTCTATCTGTGTGTGAGGGTTACAGTTATTCAAGTGTGTGTACAATGATTAATGAGTCTTTAACTTAATGATTTGAGGTTTGATGGTTATTATTCGGTGGTAGTTTTTAGAATTTCTGGTTTCTGAACATTGATTAATACTCTTGTGTAATCAAGCACATTTTGGTGAGGGCAAATTACTTAAATATAACATGTACACTGTACAATTAGTTAATGCCTAGTAGACGAATTCGATTGGAAATGAATGGACTGAATGAAATACAGCGTTACTCGCTACAATCATGTTGTTTGTTGGTTACGGATATAGTAGCAGGTACTTTGTAATTGAAAATATGATCTAGTAATTTATTATTTCGTTTATCCGTATGTTTTGTAATAATGAAAATTTAAAGTGCAGTGGGTAAACGGAGAACAACATGATTTATTGGAGGACAGGATTTGTTTAACCGTGATTAAAGAGTTGGTAACACTGTTGGTAACACTGTTGGTAACACTGTTGGTAAATACATAATAATGTTTAATTATAATTATGTTTTCAATATGTTGCTGAGTGTCGATAAGCTAGGTGTTACGTTAATTTTTCAAAGATAAGATAAATTGCTGATTATTATTTTTTGTATAATAAATTTTTGAAATTGTATTACAATATAGTGATTTTGTTCAAGAGTGATTGTACACAAAGATCTAATTGTAAATTGTTTTAATCATTGTTAACTGATTGTATTATTTTCTAACCATACAACTCACTTATGTCAGCTCAGTGAGATGAAAAATTTGCCACAAATCACAGTATCAGTAAACAGTATCAGTATCAGTAAATCTTACCGCCGATATTGGCTGTAAATTTGACAGAAAACGTAGGTCGTAGAGATAAGTTTCGCCTTTTTTCGATCAGTGATTACGTTGTCTAAATTATAATCGGTAAGTAGATAAAGGACGATAAAGACGATCACCTAAAATATGCACTTTAAAAAGATAAGATTGCATAATCTCCAGGTTTATTACAATTGGTTCACCGTCGTGTTGCGATTAAGAAAACTGGTAAGTATCTCTATTTCCTTTCTTATGAATAAATTTATCGTGTATATAATATTAGAAGAGAGTGTAAAAGGATATGTTAAACATTATTCCTATAAAAGAACGCTCTTTCATGAGGCCAGAGGCGTTGTCCCTTTGGAAGTCTAGTTGGTACGTCATACTATCATGAGGTTTCTCTTTACATAAACGGACATAAAGCTTATCATAATCAATTATATTGTCTATTATATTGTCTTAGACTGAGGTAAACTGTCTTACACAGCATGAGATGCAGTAATATTACCCAAAATAAAATGCCTCTCAGCCTCAGTTGCGAAACATATTACATCCTCATTGCTATATGATGCAATCCGAAAAACTGAAATCATTCCCTTTATGCCTTAAAGAGATCTGTATTAGTGTACTATATACTCAATATACACACAGGTATTTGGTCCAGAATCTACTATACCCTAACTGTAATAGCCCTGCCCCACCCTCACATAACATGCGTCATACTTCTCTCACACAGGAACAATCTGGATGATAATTATAGCTTAATAGCTTTATAATTACTGTAATTACCGAATTTGTGCTGTGGTAAAGTTGACCACCCAATATTATCATCTAGCTATTAGGATAGCCCTGTGCTATAATAATACTCCTGTACACGTTTTAACTCAGAGGCTGGACATGCTTCTAAATTTTATAGTTCTATTGTGCAACACTAAAATTGTGTACGACGAGCTAGAACAATAGTAACTAAAAGTACTTATACAATACACACACGTCATCACTAAATCCTTAATGGTTCCTAAATTCTTAATGCTCTAATGCAGGCGAATGAGATCGTAGCTGATATAAAATAATGATTCTTAATCTGTCATAAAGATCGTGGGAAAGGGTAAATCACATTCCTGTAAGGGCATATTCTTGTGATAGTAAGAGTGTGTGGAACAGTAAATGATTCTAGTTGTTAAAATTTAAACCGTGGTTATTGTAAGAAAAGACATATTACGAAAGAATCCTTGCAAAAGAGGACGGTCGATGGTGATTGCGATCCATCCTTATCGCCTTACTCATACACAGGGTCCGGGTCTTTTGGGCGTGAGATTCTAATGCGTGAGACTTTAGGGTGTGGGACTCTAGAGTGTGAGACTCTAGGGTGTGAGACTCTAGGGTGTGAGACTCTAGGGTGTGAGACTCTAGGGTGTGAGACTCTAGAGTGTGAGACTCCGGACACCTCAGTCCTCTATCCGCTAACTAATAAATAATATACTGTAAGGGTGTAAAATTAGAAAATTTTAGGAAACTTATACACTTTTAAACAACATCTCAATTCTCATTAGCAAACAGAACAAACCTGCTGCTTTCTTCGCTACAAACCACCAAACAAGGAGTAATGATAACGTACCATGTTCATACTTTGTTTAAAGTGCGGGAACACAGCAGGAACACTCTCTACACACTCCTATACTCCAGGGTATACAATGTGTATACTCCAGGGTATACTCCTATACTCCAGGGTATACTCCCTATACTCCAGGGTATACAATGTGTATACTCTCTACACACTCCTATACTCCAGGGTATACTCCCTATACTCCAGGGTATACAATGTGTATACTCTCTACGCACTCCTATACTCCAGGGTATACAATGTGTATACTCCAGGGTATACTTCAGGGTATACTCCAGGGTATACAATGTGTATTGTAGAAACTGCTCCCTCCCCTGGGTCTAATAAGAGAATACAGTGCAATTAAGTTATTACAGTGTAATTAGAGTACAATGTAATTACATTTGTACACTGTAATTACATTTGTACACGGTATTGATACCATCCTGTACTATCGTTATCCCATTATTATTGGTATGTGGGGGTAAAGTCCATTTCCTGGTGGTTTAGAATACCGGAACGTTGCCGGCATCTTTGCTCTAAACTTGACCCCAATGTTCGGCATAGAAAATTTGTTCAGTGTCCAATAATGTCTAGATTAATGCCCGAGAAAGAGATGCATTTACAGTTTCTGCTGCTCACAACTCCACTGCGACCAAGTGTAATACACCAACTATATACACCTTGTATTCGGACTGCATCGTGTCATTATTTTCACGAACATTAGCCCCCATTATAAGCTCGTCCCTCATGTCCCTTTAGCGAGCCTCACAGAGCTGTTAACGAGCCTCACAGAGCAGTCAGTGCGTGTACAACATGACAGTAAACACGTGCTCCCCCCTCATTAGTCAGACACTCCTCTCAATGTGAAATTACCATCTCTTCCAGGTCTCATCATTCAGATTGAACTTTGCTCCAGGTTTAAATGTACGTTATCATATCATTGTATTGGAGCACGATACAGGCTACAGCTTCAATACTTTATTGTTGATAAAAACGGTCTTTTCCTTACAATTTGGTTCAGGAAGGTGGCAAGGGAAAGTACTTCAAATTGAATACGTGATTAAGAATTGCAATTACAATGTCTCAATGTTCCTCTATATAATCTCCCATAAATTTAGATTTCCTAGTTCTCCAACTATAAACTCCTGCTGTACTAAAACCAAAAAGGGTAACCTGCCATCCAATAGGCCCACTCCTAAGTATCCCCATATAGTATAAACAATTTCCCACTCTCTCTAGCAATCTCTAAACAATTCCTAAACTATCCTCCTTGTATGTAACCAAAACAGAGGTGTTAAAATGAACCCTCTGATAATCAAAACAGAGATGTTAAAATGAACTCTCTGCTCCCCAAAACAGAGGTGTTTGGGTGTAATCAGTTTTACACATAGCTATTGTGTAAAAATTACACTAGCGTAATAATTCGGAACCCCCGGTCCCCCCCCCCCCCCCCTCAGCTGATTACGTAATATGTGAACGACCCCTCAACTTAAAATATAGAAACCAACGTTAATCAAGATCAGAATATAAACAGTTTCAAGTCTATTGCCATTAGGGCTCCACTTCTCGCGATCTCCTCTGCTCATCTGTTGCTCCGTCTTCCCTTCGTATTCTTCTCCGTCCTTCTTCACGGTCCTTTCTTATCAGGCGTCTATCTTTACTGTGTCCACCGATTCATTGTTGTAATAAAGTGTTAGACTATGACCGAAAATGTCATTTTGGCAACTGCCAAAATGACTATACAACATTGTCACATTGTATTGGACATAGCTATCTAGCTTCAATAATCAATACCTTTTCATCACATTGTAAAGCAGCGCATCTCATTGGTTTTGACTCTTAAAGTATTTGTGTAACCTATTTCACAACTAACTGTTCGGACAAGAACAATAGTGAAAGTATGTGTGTAACCTATTTCACAACTAACTGTTCGGACAAGAACAATAGTGAAAGTATGTGTGTAACCTATTTCAACACTAACTGTTCGGACAAGAACAATAGTGACTAGTGAGTTCCGGGGAAACACAACTGTGTTGAACACTTCACAGACAATAAAAGCAGTTATTTAGAATAAAGGTTAAATGTAGTTATAATTACAAGTACAAAACCCACCAATAATTTTCATCGTAATCAACCGAAAAAGTTAATCTGCATGCGTATTCTGTCTTCTTCACTAGTTTGTCCATCGTCCAATGGGCTCTATTTCATTCAATACTCGTACTATCCACTTCATTCAAAAAGTTTTAGAATTCTCAAATCAGCCTGAACTTTCAAAAGCAAACGCTAATAAGGTCTAAATTAAGTCCCAGTAGCCTCGCATGTGAGTGTGCACTAATTCAACACAATCTCATGTCTGTGATTATTGATCATGTGACACTAATTAAAGTAGCTAGGTGTATTAACTAAGTGTACTAATCAAAGTAATTATGTTATTAAAGGATCTGTTTGAGTGTTTGTCTCCCTATAATAACCCTGTTGACACTCGAGATGTACTCTCACTATCTTACTTGGTACACAGGAGCTGTGCTTTAGTTCACCGGTCACATGTGGTAGGTTTCAGCAACAGATAGGTTTCTGGTTACTTCACAGGTCTTCTATCTGTACTCCTGTTTTATCAGACATGTCTGATTTCCTCTTCTACTCGAGTGTGATCGCACTCCAGGTTTTGTAGTAATGAGTAACACTAAAAGTTTTGAGAAGGGAGTGGTCACACAAGCTAAGTACAAGTACAGCTCAACATTCCAGGTATTAAAACACCGTGAAATGAGTATAATTGAGTGATTAGCAGTGATCTGTTGTTATTATCAGAGAGAACAGCACGCACAACACCTGGTGGAGTATGACAGAGTGCTACCTCCTGGAGAAGTGTGGAGTGCAGCTGTAGCCGCCCCACTCGTAGAGTAGACAGTGTCAGCAGGCACCCCTCAATTAGGTTGTGTAGTAGATACCCGACCCCTCAATAACATTTAGCAATACTGCAGTTTGCTAGTAATGTAAATTAGGGATTAATTATAAGCGGATGTTTACAATGCTCATCAAAATAGTTTGGTAAACATGCTAGCAATTAGCATATCCTTCATGAATACTTTCATTAATAACCGCCGGTTTACATACATATTTATTAACGTGAATTATTGAATAGAAATATAGACCACCGGTTTACTTTAAATATTGTGTCCCAATATACTGCCCAGACATATTATGATAGCGGCTTAAGATATTGCAAAACAAACCCCAGTCAACAGTCAACGTGTAATCAATAAGTTCAACCATCTGTACAGTACAGTTACTTTTAGAATCACGTGTACTTTCATCTCTCCTCGGTAAGCAAGTTTTGACTTTTGGTTATTTTATTTACTCTTGGTCTTTTACTGTAAACATTCTTCACGTCAAACGTACCATACCTATTATTATGCGAATCAAGGCTAAAGAAGTAATACTGGGTGCGCACATCTCCAACAGTTTCAACATGGTTAATGTATACATGTAATTAGTGAGCCACTCTAAACATGATAATGAAACGTAAGAGAAAATGTCTAGACTTTGGTGCGATCCCTTCAACCATAAAGTTAAGGTCTTAGAGTGCATTTTACAAACATTGCTGAATTGTCTGAATTCCGTTGGCTTTGTCGTTACTTAGATCGAATAGACATTAGACACGTTGAAATTTTAAATACATGTGATTTTCCCAGCGAAAGATTATCCTGAATTCTAATTACGCGACTGATATCCTTGGTAATTGATCTTGGCTCGTGTCATCAGTTTTACGAGAATTAGATTCTAGTGCAGTCAGTGCAAATGGGGTAAGCATTTGCAAAATTACTGGTTTACTCGCAATCAGATATAGATAAGACACGTTCACCTTTCACTAATTCAATTTTGGAGAAATTCCGACAGGAGTTGGAATGGATGCGAAATGCGAATGCCCAGACCTTGAAATATAATCTATTAATAGAGGCAATTTATTCTCAATATTTATGGCACGCTGGCCCCCATCTATATCTGACCGTTTTAGAGTGGTTCGGTGTTTGGTAAATAATGATTGCAGTAGTTGCTATGAAAGGAACCCAATAATATTAAATCTTTTACATACGTGCCCACGCGGTGTCATTGTGTGTGTTGGACACAGCGCATACACGTGTGTTTATGCGTGCCGCGCGCTTGATCCGAAAATTAACTTATTTAGAAGATATTGACAAATAATTTTGATGTCTCAAGAGTATGAAGTATGAATTGTATCGGATATTTAATAGCACATTGAGCTTATCCCACATCACAACATTGTATTGACCTCCGGTCGAGCTATGCGACAAGTTGTGTCTTCGGCGATACAAAACCAAACCAAAAATCAAAGACAAGATGGGGATCCAGGTTATTATGTAATACCTATCCCAGACAATTCATAACTCTAAACTCATAACAGTCAAATTTATGCTTTATCATTGGCAGAATAACATGACAAATCAGACCACCGATCAAATGGCTGATTTTTTATCATTTATGCATTAGATTATTGGTTACTATAACAGTCCACAACTACAGGTTATGCAGCCATTCTGCAATAATCGAAACACTATAAATTCGAAACATGAATTTTAAATAGCTAAAATTCTATGAACAAATGATAAATCATCGTATGTCAATGTCTCTTGATTAAAACTAAACTGATATAGTATGCTATCAAAGTCTTACGACGATGAAAATATAGCGATCAAACCACTAACATCTAACGTTATAAATTACGTAATTAACAAAAGTATGGTATCAAATTATAATTATTACACTGCATTAATCACCGAATCCCCACTAGTGGTCGATGAACTGTTCAAAATCAAATGTTAGAATATTTATGTTGAACGATAGATACGAAGAATGTCAGAGACCTCAGCCCGACAAACTGGACAATGATGGCCGGCCACTTTTAGGGCTCTGGCACAGCTGAAACAGCAACACAGATGTCCACAGCGGTAGAGGACAGTATCACATGGGTATTCCAGACAGACTACACATGTACCTTCTTTCACTTGCTTGGTTGGTTTTGCCGGCTCAACTGAAATTAGAAAATATCGATTACATTCTTTGAAACGAAAATTTTATAGCGGTGGGGTGGCCGAGTGGTCTAAGGCGCTACGTTCAGGTCGTAGTCTACTATGTAGGCGCGGGTTCGAATCCCGCCTCCACCTGCTTTTTGAATAACATTGACAGCTTGAAAGATTTATTTGTGTGACAATATTGAAATACGGTTTGTGTAATCGGAAGCACATTTCCGCCAGTGGTGGGGTGGCCGAGTGGTCTAAGGCGCTACGTTCAGGTCGTAGTCTACTATGTAGGCGCGGGTTCGAATCCCGCCTCCACCTCTTTTTTAATAACATTCACAGTTTGAAAGATTTATTTGTGTGACAATATTCAAATACGGTTTGTGTAATCGCAAGCACATTTCATCCAGTGGTGGGGTGGCCGAGTGGTCTAAGGCGCTACGTTCAGGTCGTAGTCTACTATGTAGGCGCGGGTTCGAATCCCGCCTCCACCTCTTTTTGAATCATATTCACAGATTGAAAGATTTTGGGTGTAGTGAGTGGGAATATGAACTAATTAGGGTCAGTAATATTTAACTTAAACGTCAGTAACATTTGTGAAACTTGACACCTATATAATTGGAATATCTCATCACAGAAGTCACATTCAACTGAATACTTATGTAGACAAATTTCACCTGTGGAACTTCTCATCATGGCGCTAACTTCTTGTCTGACAGCTCGCTGCATTTCCAACTGTGTGTCGACCAGCAGTTTTAACATGCCCTTCATCTCCTTCATCTCTATTGACATGACGTGGATCTGTGGTAAAATCTTTTGTTTAGTTAAAACCATATCAACCATTAAATCCTTCGTGGACAAGACTGTTCAGTATTTAAGAACATAATTGCTTTTGAAGTGTTAATTCCATTTTCTAAGCCTCGTAAGTATATCCAACCAAATGTGTGAACAATATTGAATATTAGAAGTTTACTAATAACAAAATGTAACACGTTAACAGTGAGACAATATAATCAATATCATGACGGTAAAAGAGTAATAATTAGTATTCACTAACCTGTCTCTCGATTTCAGGGATTCTTCTAGAAGATGAAGGTTCGACAAGGGGTCTCACATGAGGTGTGCCCGTGAACGGGTTTATAGCCGGCTGAGCTTGTTGTCCAGAGGCTCCGGGTTGAGGTTGAGGTTGTGGTGCTGCCTGAGCTCTGCCTCTGGGTCGGGGCTCTACTCCAGCTCTCACTAATCTCCGCTGTTAGGAGAGGGGTTCAGTTTAGTGTGGTGCGACTAAGATAGTCCAACATATAACAGCCCTTATTTGATATGACATAAAATTTTGACGTTAATAATGGATAAGTATAGTTTTGACGTAGTTTACTCAAGAGCCATGCGACTACTTACCACTTACTGACCGGAAACATCAAATATAGTACAAACAAAATGTAAGAAAAGTTGCTAGCGATCTCGATGATCAATTCTAATAATAACCTCAATTTTCTGTAAGTGTGATTTTGACCCAAAATGGCATAAAATGTAGAACACCCAAGCAATAGCCTTGGACGATTCCATTGTAATGTCAATTTTTAAACAAAGTGTACTGGTCATTATTCATTAGCTTGCATTAAGAGAGTTTTTATCGAAGCGCTTGTTTTAAGCGTATAAACTGCCGGAGCCGTGGAATAGCTGATGAGCTTATCAACCTGGTCTTCAGACCTTTAGCCTGATCCCATAGTCCTTAATCATGTTAATGGTACTCTCCAATACTGACTATCATACCCAGTGGCGTAACGTAACCATCACCACCCCTTCTCAGATCAAAAAATCAGGCCCTTTGTTACGCCACTGATCATATCATTTGAATCGGAGCTTATAGCATTAGCCATGAGCACTGATAGCGACACATTTTCTACTCAGCATATTGATGAGCAGATATCAGCGGTTTGATAGCAAGCTAAACATACTATCTATCACCCAGGGTCCCTGCACGCTATGATGTACAGGGACCGTTAGTTTCGTGTCTAATATCAGCATACTTCGTCTTGTGGTCGATTACCCGTCTTACATCCGTGTCCTTCAACATTCATGATTTTGGTTAATAACAATGACCGTGGCGCATGAGACGAGGGATAGTGCCAACTTTTAAACAATCCATATAAGGTTGTTTTTTGCAGTACATTTTAACAATATATTTGTGACAATATGAAAGTATTGATCAAAAACCTAAAGATTAATTAATGTGTATGCGTCTTTATCAATTCGATTGATCAATACCATATTTGGTTTTTTTTCTATTGCTACGTAGTACTTCTAGGTCAACTTTTTAAGTATTTGTTAAAGCGAATGAGAGAATTCACAAGTTGTATCAACCGATTATGGTATTTTTTATTCGTTGTTAACCTATTCAACCAATCTTTTAATCAACCAATGAAGACACATATATACAATAAATCATTGTTAGATAATAAATATTATCTCCTGACTACTTGATATATCAAATGCTTACCTCTATGTGAAGTTCGAGAACATTTCTAAAAGTGCTATGAAGAACATCGGATACAAGTCGTCGCTGGAAAAGCTCCTCTACGTCCGAGATAGCGTAATCAAACTGTCCTGAAAGAATTAACAAGTTTATACAATCTCACAAACTGTACAACCTTTCTGGAATCTGATACATTCTCTTCGAGCCATAAACCGGCATAATAACTCATGACTCATAGGGTTGATCACGAATGATTGGTGGATGATATGTTAATCATTCTCGATTTGTCCATCATGAAAACGAGTGTCCAGAATACAATCCAGATCAGCCTCTCTTCAGAGTGTTAAATCTCGCAGTTGTACAGTAAACACGTAACACACGCCGTACTGCAATCGTCATCAACATGAGGAACGTGCACATGGCCATGTGGAGAGCTACCAAGATGTACAAGGTAGCTAGTGTAGTGTAGGGACGCTTGTTAACGTGTCAGTTCTCTCCTCAGTTTTGTGTACTATTCCGATATGAAGTTACTGGTGGTCATCTTATCTCTTCTTCTTGTAAGTATTTTCCCAATTGTTGTTTTTTTACTTCACCTCACTATTCTATTCCTCATAGAAATTGCGCTTTTGTGCCCACTATGAGCTATCATTAACTGTGCTGCCTTGTTTTGAATAACCGTCTGGTTTTCAGGTTGATGCCACTCTAGGACAATCAGGAGACGCAGCAAAAGTGGAGCTGGATGAACCGCAAATCAACAAATACTTCACACAAGCGGACGAAGATAAGAACGGACAACTGGACAAGGATGAAGTTCCTAAGTGGGTCCGTAAGATGGTGGACGTTCACATCAAGGAGAACGTCCCTGCTGCCAAGGACGAGTTCCGAACAGTCGACAATAACAGGGATAAGATAGTGACCTGGGAGGAGTACCGGATAATGATGCAGAACCTCGGGGAGGGGGACCCCGATCACGTGGTCTACTCGGACAAGGAGCAGAAACACAAGTTTAGGACAGCTGATGAGAACGGGGATGGGGTTCTCAACCAGATCGAGTACATTGCTTTCAAGAATCCCATGACGACCGACTACGTGCTGACTAGGATAGCTCAAGAACTGCTGGAGGATTTTGATAAAGGTAAAGATGGAAAGGTTTCTATGTCCGAGTTTGTTCACCACGAGGCTTCTAGAGATGGTGACAAGGATGATAAAGAGATTGATAAGTTGAGGAGAACAGAGTTTAGAGCGTCGATGGACAAGAACGACGATGGAGACCTCGATCTAGGTGAAATTAAAGAATATCTCAATCCAAGAGGTGTGAACTTTGTTACGAACGAAGCGAGACACATGATGCATGAAGCTGACACTAACAATGACAATAAGCTTAGTTTGAAGGAAATAAAGGAGAACTATCTTCATTTCCAGCACCATAAAAATAACCCTGTCATAAGAGCTATTCACGACGAGTTCTGATCCACCAAGATATATAGAACTATATTTTCAACTATATGATTGAATGTAACAACAATTTTTATCAAACTCGTTTTGGACGGTATCTATTAACAAATCTGCCTTCTCCTGATATAACACCTTGTAGGTGAAGGCCATTTTGTTATGTTACATAAACTTTAGCTTTGATAAATTTCAAATGTTCAATGTTTTATTTTTAATGTACTGACAAAATTTATATACTACTCGTACACTACTCGTATTTCTTGCCTGAAAACACTTTAACAACTGCATAACACAATTTACTTACTATTTGCAAAGTCTGGCGGCTCATATTGTTCGGCGGCTTGTAGAGCGGCTTGGCTCATATGAGCGGCTACAGTTTCCCTCTCTAGTCGGGCAGCAGTAGATTCGTTTGGAGGGAGAGCTCCAGGAACTGGTGGAGCTGGAGGTACTCTAGGTGCCCCAGGTGGTGGTGGGGGTGGGAGTGGGCCCGTTCTGGTACTAGGCTGGAAGTTATCAAGTTAGAAATTTATACCGAGTATGAACTTCATCGATCTATACAAGAATAGAGACTCTAAGCGATGCAAAATCTAACATTTAGTGATTTAACTTACCGTGCTTCTTGTAGTTGGCTGGGGAGGAGCTCGGAGAGAGTTTTCTAGGAGTGTTCTAAACCGGGTGTTCAGGAGGTTCCCTACAGACCTGTTTCTTGTTAACAGTTCTAATTCATTCTGTACTCCCTGAACCATTTTATTACTCATGGTCATTTATTGGAACTACAGTACACATCAGGTCTATGAAAATGTCATGATCCCTTTGATCAGTTGTAGCCTAGATACGTATCCCCATGCATTCCAGCTTCACAAAACGGTTGAAAACTCACCTCAGATCGAGGAGCTCGGATAGTATCATTCTGATCCCTTGTAAAGAACTCCTCGAGTTGTTGGGCGGTCTCCCCAGTGCTCACCGCTCTGTCTCCGTGTTGTATCCTCCTCAACTCGAACATTCTCTCTCTGCGGGATAAGGAAGTGAAAATAGGCCTTGGGTGGATGGATATGTATTTTAATATACGTGTATAAGAGTTTGTTTTGTGACACTAGATAATCATAACTTCCTATTTCCCTCCGGCTTTGCCGGGTAAAACTTACCCTTTGGGTAACTCTCCAACATCCTTCAATTTATCTAAATCTGGCTCGACTGGATTGATTTGTATCGGCGGTGGTGGATCAGGGAAGGGCATCTGAAAGTCATTAACCGCGCCCATATTTTGAAATTTGTCTCTGATCTCAGTAAAATTAAACTCTGCTATGGATTTTTCTGGATAGCTCTGACGTCGAGAATCCCTTTTAGGCTTTGAAAAATAATCTCGAAGATCAGATATTCGATCAGACGGCTTATGACAATAGGTTACTATGCCAGGAGATGAAGTCTGATGATTGAAGTACCGCTGTAGTTTAACAGCCACCAACGGCTCAGAAAGTTGCTGACGATGTAGATTTGCTTTCCCTCTCCAAAACGAGGGGATGAATAGAAAAGCAAGTGTTACAATAAGCAAATACACGGCTACACAGGAGTGCTCTAATGTTATTGATCGTAATACAGCAGTTAACCAGTTAGACAGATATAGCATCGCCCTCGGCTCTTATCTACACGTGCGGTACTAAACTAGCACGTGCAACTAGACACATTACACCGCAACCAGGAACGAAGAGCTATGAAATTTTGGAGAGTAATAATGTGAGGCTCGACAGTACACGTCTCTCTCTTTTAGTATGAGATTGCAATGTGGTCCCTAGTTCATTGCAGAACAATGAACTAGGGACCACATTGCTCAGGGCTGGTATTAAGCGTTTACATGATTCATGAGAGTGTGGAACCTGCTCCAGGGCTCAATGAACTCTCTCTCTCTCTGAAGCTGAGCCCCCGTTAAACCGTTACCTCATTATATTCGTGTGAGGGCAGATGTAGCAATTGAAATACAGACACTTTGTGACTATAGGAGTGTGGGGCCACGGTCATTTGCCTAGACTGTAGGTTACAAGCTAAATTTACATGAATAATCATGGCGATGCAGATTGTAATATTTGAAAACTACTGGCATTTGTCACTTTTAAACAGAGCTATTGTCTAGGAAATTACAATGGTAAGTTTTTCAAGAAACCCCTTTCCCCCTTCGATCGATGTTAAAATAACTTAAAATATAACTTAAAACATACATACATAAATATAATCCATACATGCATTTTATAATAATATCATGTCAGATTAAAATTCGGTTGTCATAATATAACATTATGAATTATCTACTTACATCCTCATTCTGTCCACAATTCCTGAAACTACATTGTTGATAGCGTCGGACGCCTCTGAAGACACCTGAAATAATAATCATAACAACGGGAATTTCCCATTTACGATTTATTATAAAATAACGATCGATGTTAGATGATGTCATGGTAACATCCATTACTGTGTCCATGAACAAATATTAACATACATCCAATGTGAGATTTGCATAATATATATAATCTTGTGATTATTCTATGATTCGGTAGAATGGTAAATGCAATGTGAGAACTGAATCGTTCATCTCACAATAGTGATAGTTGTTGCCCTAGAAACGCAACTCTCTCTTGGACTATAAAGCTAATTTAAAACCTTCTGCCTTATCACATAAGGAATGACATGATCCATAGTTCATCATTACGTGATCCAATTCTCCATCACCTGATCTTCATTGAGATACAGTCACCAGATCCACATGGCTCACTTTACGTGATCCGACAAGTTGGATCATCATCAATGAACCTGCTCACGTCACCTCGCAACTTGAAACGTGAGAATACACGTAGTGTGTGGATCATGTCGTTTGGAACTGAACACCAACATGCAATCGGCCGTCTCATTAACAAGACCATGTGACGTGGCTGCAGTCGTCAGCCGTGTTAATGACCCATTGGGGCTGTTGATCATGCAATAACAAGGTCTGGTACTAGACGGTATATAAACGCCCCCCACTTCACCACCCTATCCTATTCTTCTTGTTCACACCTTATTTCTACTATCAACTCCAATATGGCTCATCAATTCCTCGACCAACCCTTCTCCCCGTCCCTCAACAAGTCCCGCCGGATGTCTCTACCCCACAAGTTCCCACCAGCTGAACGAGAAGCGCTCTACCATTGTTCCAAGAAGGACGGAGAGATCAGACCTTCTGTTGTCATCCACTACATGCCTCACCGAACCTTCGAGACTCCCATCCTCTGCACATGCGTCCCTGCCATGGAATCTAAAATAACTAACCCAGTTACCACCGCTGCTCCTGAACCTGCTAAAGCTAACCACGTCTCCGTCTTTCGCAGCAAGTCCAACGCACAACTCAATGCCTTAAAACCCATACTTATGAAGAGGGAACTACGAATGAGCAAATCAACTAGTAATCTCACGAACACTACCAAGAACAGAGTCCGGATTCGACAACCTACCATAGTGAACCTGACGACCCAGTCTGAACGCCCTTTCCTGAAGAGCAATACCAGACCTGATAAACCTGCAGACCACGTCACCAGCAGCTGGACTCTAAACATGACCCGACGGAAGTCCAACTCCTTCAAGCGCTTTATGATGAAACCCTACAAGAAGCTTAAGAGAAAACTGACGAAGAAGACCCTACACATTCAGATTTCTCCTGAGAAGAAGGAACCTTACTGCAGATTTGCTACTATCTCTGAGGACTTTCATACTGTGACCATTTGAATATATTTATGATCGTTGTTTCGTGTTGCATAATGACTAATCTGGTGTTGCATATTGATATAGTGTTGATATAGTGTTCATGTATACTGATTTGATATAAATACCATCTACTAAGTAGAAGTTTTTTGAAAAACGTTTATAATTTCTCTAAAAATGTCCCACAAACCTCTTCCCAATCAAGTGCAGTAGGAGGCTGCTCTAAGTTCAGCTGAGCAATATTAGCTCCGCTAACACTGTCAGGTGACATAGGACTGGATGCTGCCCCTGGTTCACCAACAGAAGTTCGAGTGCCTGATGTTGAGGCGGAGGGCCCTGAAGTAGGGGAGGCTGCAACCTCAAGTTGAACATCACTAGGTGTGGTAGGTGCTGGAAGGTTGAGGTTCAGGCTCTCTGGAACTTGCGGGTCAGACATTCTTTATGATTGAGAGAGCTTACAAAAGGTAAAACTTAGAACAGGGTTTGGAGAACAAGAGTCAACTGATTCTTTGTTGACAAGACCCCTCAGGCGCGATACTTCAGGTTATTCTTCTTGACAATGAAGCTGCTGATGATGTGAACTCGAACAAAGGCCCACGAGAAAGGCGACAAACTATTATTATATCCGCAAACACTCACAAACTATACAATCTTGTGTACTGCAGACGTGCACGGACGGTATTCAATTATGTCTTGTTATTGTATACAAGACAAGGTAATTAGCACTCGTGTCCACAAATTACCGGGTGCAAATTGTAACGGAAATCACACTAATACCAGATCTAGGTCGAAATTACTGAAAACCACCACAATTTGGCCCCAAAAGCGATAAACTGCAACCAAATACCGAGGTCGGGCGGTAGGAACAACTTTAACTTTCGCGTCGTTGGATGACATCAACACATAACGAGCTGAATTATATTGTAGGTATTAGATCACGGCGTGTTGTTCTGTGTTCACAACGCGTGTTATGTTACGAACGATGCGAGTAATGCGTGACCTATTGACCTGATAATTAGCTGTGTGTTGAGTAAGCAAGCTAATGTGTGCAGAATGATATCGGAAGAAAGTGGATGTTGTGTAGTGTTGCTTGCTGGCAGGAACTACTCATGAGGAGATGGACCTGCTCTAAGCTGCATGTTGAGTGATTAAGAGTACATTACTTTCATAGTACCTACTGCCGGTACTGTTGTGACATTTTTGTATCAAAAATATAATAATATCTATGTGGGGGTAGCTATTTGCATATAATTACAATTGGAGTAGAGATATTTGGAGTTTGGAAAGCGGTATCTATTTTCTAAGAATCATTAAGTCACGACAACATGTGGCATGATGTGGCAATGCGAACGAAGTATCGGATGTCAGCGATCAGTTGCTGCCAATTATCTCTTGGGTGACAGCCAACTGCTAAGTCAAGTTCAGTTACATATCTAGGATTCTACGGAAATCTTACTGACTGTAAGACAGGATTCCAAAGATTTAAGATATAAAACCGAGAAAATCTACTGAAACGATGTAGGTATGTTTAAAAAGATCGTGACTACCACTCTGAACATTACGCAAATGGAATAATGAGCGTTGCTGAGCCGCCTAGCTTAGTGAATTGCATCGTCATAATATGGCTCCAGCTACAGTACAAAGAGATAGCTGACGGTTCAAAAAGTACGACTACAGTCCCTGGGTTGTCCCTGGGTTGTCTTATTGTTTGCCAAAATTTAGTCACTCAATCACAAAAAGAAACCACAATTTAATAAAAACTAACATTGCAAATCGTTGACATTCCTCAGAATATAGTGCTGTAATTTCTTTGATATAATACATCGTATCATCATATACAGGCGTATAGTCTCGTGATTAATGTAGATCTAAAGATTTAATATGAATATTAATGACGTCTTATCTCTCTTTTGGTGTACCCTCAAGTACAGCATCACCCAACCCACATGACATATTAATCTTAAACACTGTGGTAATTACAAGTTAATTATAATGTAATTGAACAGCACAGTTTCGCAGGTAAACGCAATTTGAATGGGGGTGGCTTCCACTGATTCACGTCCATTATTGCTCATTCCATATTTCAGATAATTTGTTTGTTCTATCAGTTTGTTTTATCATGTTCAACTTCATCAGATAGTATTTTATTTATACGAATCACCTCATCCTCGATTTTGATTGTTTTCTTGCCTGTACTGAGCTGAGCTTCTTACCACCACCTTCAGGGAGTTCCCCATTCAATCCTATCATAGACTGCGGAGACTGCTTGTTGTACAATTCAACCAGGATATCAGCTTTGTGGTAGTCAGCCTCGACCATGTCTCTTATCCAGGGGAAGGCTTTTTGGTGTCCCTTCTCAACAAGGACTCCTTCTGCATGAGAGTAGACTTTCTGCCAGAACTCTTCCTTCTCGTTGTCTGTCAACTTCACAAAGTGCTGCCGAGATATGCACTCACTGAAGTAGGTCTCTGTAACCCGCACGTCTGTTTTTTTATCAAATATTGCCAAGTATCGGTAACCTCTCTCTTGGATAGACGTGTCTTCAGAGGTAATGGCTCTTTTGAGCAGCTCCTTGGCCTTTGAGAAGTCCTCCAGCTTACCGCACACTATGCCCAGTTCTAACAACGTCTCCAGGTTAGAATTGTAGCACTTTTTAGCAGCGTTTTCAAAGTGGCTCCGAACAAACTCCAACATCTCCGTTTCTCCCATATTGTTAGTTTTCAGAACCCCGGGTCCTACAGTAGCTAAACTGACGGCAGATGGTAAATCTTTAATCTTGTCTGTTTCCATGTCTTCTGTGAGGTCGGGCAACTTGGTCAGATCCATACCTGCTGATTTGATAGCCAGAGTCAGGGATCTCTTCACAAAGGTCTTCCTCTTCTTGGAGTCTTTGTACCACTTCAGGTATTGAGCCTTCCCTAGGAGATGATACGCCTCCGATGTGGGGGACATCTCCAGTGACTGCTCAAGAAGGCTTATTGCACCCAGATCATTCTCATAGTCATTTCTTGCTATTTTGATTTTAGCAAGATCCCGGTATGTTTTAGCGTTTAATGAGGACTCGTGTTCTTTGAGGAATGAACTTATTTGGGAGTCTAAGAGTTCATCAGTGTAAGCTTTGTTCTCAGCTTTGATTGTCAGCAACATGATAGTTGCTGGTAGAAAGCCGGGCTCGCTCAGAAGGACAATGTTGATGAGATTTGCTGCAACCTTTAGGTAGAAGTCCTTTCTGGAACGATTTTCATGGTACGAAATAGCAAGGAGGGTCGCTGCTAACCCAAAGTTAGCATTTAGATTAGTATTGTTGTACTTGAGAGCTGATTCGTACATCCTTTTAGCAGCATTATTCAGTCCAAATACATGATAAGCGTACCCGAGGTTAGTCTTAGCTTCACTCATGTAAATACTCTCCTTGGTGATCTGTAGAAAGTCCGCCGAGGAGGTCAGATTTATAAGTTTCTGGAGACATTCGTGTGCTTTTTCTGGAAGGTTCTGGCGGAGGTAACAGTGTGCCTGGTTTGCTATGCTGATAATGTTGTTCTCCTGGAGGGCTGACACCTCGTGGAAATATCTGAAATGTTATCAGATACAGTAACTATCATATATAATGTAGTTATCATAGTTATCATATTTATCATAGTTATCATAGTTATCATAGTTATCATAACCATTATTTTATTTAGTAAATATAATAGTATCCGTTCATAACTATTTTATTATTTACTAAGTTCTATCATAGTATCCGTTTATAACCATTTTATTATTTAGTAATGCAGGTACAGGTGCTTTGTTCAAATGCTTGGCAAACGTTTTAGATTTTCTGCATGAATTAATCAAGCAGTTTGTGAATGAGAATTGCAGTAATGTGGTAAACTTTCATCCCGAAGTTTAATTTCAATTATTGTTTTGTAAAGACGTGTATTGTTCAGTTTTAGGATTTATAAATTGAATAATGAATAGCTATTATTTAAAGTCAAAGTAAGAAAATTACCTGAAAGCATAACTGTAATTCCCTTGACACGCGAAGAGAAACCCTAGCAGATTGTATTGGGGTATCCTGTACTTTGGTGGAATGGAGTGAAGAGCCAGGATGACCTCGTCTAAGATGTGCCTGCAAATTGGGAGATTAAACTAAGTAAAACGTGGTTAGTTATTCATACAGGAAACCATGCGACATGTGCTTGCATACAGGCCACAGGAATATTATATTAAGTAAAAACGTAAAGGAAATCACATGATAATAGGTCTCTGGTCTGGCAACAGATGATTTAAATTTAAGACTTAAAAAGTAAAAGTTAACTTGGAATTAAGAAGTAAAAGTACAATAGTGAATAGATCAGACTTGGCTACTTGGTGGTCACATAAAAAGTTAGCATTGACCACTGTCCGACTGAAAGCCGGCAAATTTACCACACACTTAAACTTTTTACTGTACAAAGATGCCACGTGGCCAGTATGTGGTTACCTGAATCTCAGAGAAGATCCTGGAAGTCCGAGAGTAAAATGAGATGGGAAGAACCTGATGAACTGTTGGAGCTCATCGCAGGAGTATTTCTGTCTCTCAACGGGCTTGATTACTGGAGGAAGGGCGGGCTGAAAGGGAAACGGTGTTAAATTAGATCAGATTTGAAAACTCAATACTCACTTAGTTTTCTCATTTGAATCCTAGGTTATTACTGCACGGATACTAAGATTATATCGAGCAAAAAGAGGGAGATTAATATCCCAGGCAAGAAGGTTCGAGGAAGAAACTTGCCTTTCTTGGTTCAAATCGGTGCAGAAGGTGTTCAAACCCTTTTAAGCTCTGTAACCTTTGATTGAAACTGTGCGGAACTTGATTTTGCTGGAAGCCCTCGAAGTTACGTGAACTTCGTACGGCTGATCGCTCTCTCGAGATTGAACGCATCATCAAGGACACAACATTGAAACTCGCTGGAAAATTAATACTATAAAGAACTACAGCTCATATGAAATCCATGTTGACCGTAACGTGTAGAACTAAAAATGCCGCTTAAAAACTTTCGTCATTTCCAATCATCTCGGCAAGGTGGCAAGTCTCTAGAGGACAAACATTCACAGTTCACTTCAACATCACGATTGTTGACGTTAAATTTGAAGCACGTACATTTAACTTGAAGTAGTTAAAGTTATTTCTAAAACAATGGTGATGTGGTAAAAAGTGAGGATCACGTAGCAAACTGTCTGAGTCCAGTCTATTCGCTATGAAGCGTCAATAAAATATACTGTAATCAACGGGTTGTTATCAACCGATTCAGGTAAACATCTTGCCAAATAAAATTAAATTTATGGATTTACAATGAAAAATCATGCTATGTGATAATTAATTCTCGTAATTCAAGGACATGAAGTCCTATGCCGTTAAACCTCAATAAATTGGTAACCATGGCAACTATAAAATTACCAATGTGAATGATATAGACTGTGGGTATTGGGTATTGCAACCAAAGGGAGCGCTTTAATATAACGTGAAATTTGATCGATCATGATGATTTATAGGTTCGAAGTTTAACCATCAGGTACGCAAGTTTAACTGTGTCGTGACATCACAAATATGATACATGATGTACTATTTAATAATGAATAGCAAGTAAAGCTGTCTATTGATGGGGCTGTAGATGCGTCAACAGTTTCTTAAACTACTATAATTAAACTAATTCAACAATGTCAATGCAAATGATGTCAGTTATCGAAGAAACTCGTAAAGCTCGTTTAAATAGATCGCATCTCACAACCTGCAGTGCATGACGCTTCAGCTGAAGGACAATCACTTTGACTGCAGACAACACGTGTGAAGCACAGTATCTGTAGTCAAGGTAATCAGAAGTAACATGGAAGCGTAGCTTTACAAGGCTACAGCCGAGCAGTCTTGTAGTGCGATATATACTTAATCAGGAGACATGAGTACAACTGCAAGTATGCAGTCACGTTGCTTGGATTAACAATTGATAACTTATCAAGAGGCCGCAGAAAATTATTTGACTAAGGCAAATAAGGAATTATTTTCATTTCGCCATGACAAGACTCTTTGTGAAGATATGATACAAATTTTAACGAGGAATTTAAATACTTACATTTGTGAACTAAAATCGAAGTTCGAGAAATTGTGCACAAATTCACCGAATAACCGAATGATAAGCAAATTATTAACAAGACGATTTGATTACTTACCCGGATATGTTTTGACGGATGGTCGCTATTTGTAACGATGTTTTAAATTTAATAGTAGACAATAATCAATCATTTATTGTATTAGATTGTCATTGCAGACTTCTAGAATTAGTAGAAGCCGTGGGAAAATATTTTCACTCTCAATTGTGAGAAAATGATCTAACCTGAGTCCCAGATGAAGATTTGGTGAGCTGCATGATTCCTTCGCTATCAATCCTGCGCATATTATCGCTGACCTTATCTCTAAAACGCCCCGTGACCAAAATAGCAGCAAATAGTAACACTAACAGGTTCGTTGCACATGCAGTGTATAATGAACTGAAACGTGAATACGGAGCCAATTCAAGCAAACAAAGTTTCTTAGTGATGCGTTCCTGGCATAATTTTAACTTTAAACGCTTACTTTTTGTTTAACAGTTATCCATTATGTCGGTTAAATTGCTATCAATTACTACAAAGCAGTTATAAAATGCAGAAATGCGTAGGTCTACGTTTCTGCTTACCAACATTCATTGTCTACTAGATAAGTAGCTAACTTATAGTGCTTGTTACTTGAGATCATTGGTATTTCAAAACTGACAATTTTTTTATTGACTTGACTGTCGGCATTCCCCGGAAATACTGAAATAGAATAAAACGTTACGGTCGTCGGCGAGGAAGAACATCAATAACTTGAGTTAGACAATAAGTTGCAAAACCACGATAATTGTTACTGTTAGGCGTCTCACGGCTGTGCTGACATGATATGAATTCTGCTACAAATTTTAAATTGTACCTACAGTATCTTCATTAAATAATATTCACTTCAATCTTCATGTCGGATATAACGACAACAGGCGGTCACAGCTTTTTAATCCCCAGTGATCTGTTATATTACTGTTAGTAATATTCTCATTTCTCGATCATCGATGACAATGTGTTCTTTGATCTGTTATTATTGTCCCCCTTTAAATGAAAATCGGAGACGGTAAGTTTAAACAATGAAAGATACAGTAACCCATATTAATATAGTTATACGGATACTTGGTCAGGAGCTACTCTGAAACGATAAACGATAAACGCCACTTTAACTCTACTTCCACTATGCTGCCACTTCACCGACCATCATGACTGACTATACCTCCATTTTGCATTTACCATACCACATACACACGATCCCGTGGCGAGCGTGCTAAATCACTCTACAGTCGATCTTCGAAATTTTTCTAAAAGGCCCCCCGACAGTTGAGACCATCATGGTTCGATGTATTTTCGGACGCTGATTCCGAATCACCCCCCATGACATAGGGTTAAAATGCTCCCCTAGCGAGATATTGGCGAAAAACTGTCTTGATCACGTGATATGACCATATACGGAAGTTAGTCTAATTTCTCGTTAGGGTTAGGGTTTCAGCATATGCTTTTGTTAAAGATTGGGTTAGGGTTAGGGTTGGGATCAGATTAGAGGGCTATGATTTCGAATAGTCATTCAGGGCCACCAAGAGAACGTGTTTAAAAAGTCACGTGACAGTCGAGTGTAGAGTGATTAATCATCATCCATCCCGTGGTCCTTATTTTGAAAGACAGGAGTAGGACTGTATGGTTTGGAAACAAATATTGGAGTAGTGCGCTCCGCATTCTTCTCGAGGTAAGTGCTACGAAGAAGCACGCGCCGGGTTAGTCCATTAACAATGGACAAGTACATTGGACAAGTACATTAACAATGGACATAAGTACATTGTACATTGGAGATTTGATTCACGATGTCAATCCTTCGCATCTCGCCGATCTACAGAAGGTTGCAAGAAGATTTAACGGGTGATACTCGTAAAATATTTGTTCCAGGACCGTCGACGAGTCCAACTCGGCGCGCGTCCTGGTAGGTTGTAAACCTACAAATAGATCATTGTACACTCAAAAATGGGCGCGATTAGATTTGGAATTGCTCTTACCATGACCTTTGTGCTTGCAGTAGCTCCCACCCGCCATAACTATAAATTAACGTTTTATGCAAGCCTGTCACGTACGTGCGCGCGTATTATTTGACAAAAATAGTTTTTTGCTCGATCATACCTCCTCAGCTGAATTATTAATAACATTTTATTTTATGTCATGACTTCATGAGTTTCACATAGCCATGTGCCTACGCGTACTGCGTGACGCGCCTACGCGTACTGCGTGACGCGCCTACGCGTACTGCGTGACGCGCCTACGGCGGTCGCGCGCTACTGCAAGCGAGAGGGCTCTGGTTAGAGCAATTCATGAGTTGTTCTAACTAAATTGCGGAAAGCCCTGGTCGCGCTTGCAGTAGCGTGCACGCCCAGTAGTACAATAAAAAAGCACCTATGCTCATGCTTACTCATTACTTGTCATACGTTGTATGACCCGCCGCGCACGAAGTGCGCAGCTCCCCCTGTATCGTCGAAGACTATAGTGAAGTGACCGTAGTGAAGCGACCGTGGGGGTCACCACGTGATACAACTCATTACTGGACTGATTAAATTGCTCTATAGTCTATCCAGAGCTTCACATAGCATAGCCATGTGTATACGCGTACTGCGTGACGCGCTTGTTTTACAAGTAGAATAATATACTCCCGTGCCGCCTTCGGCGGTCGCGCGCTACTGCAACATGCAAGCGAGAGGGCTTTGGTTAGAGCAAATCCAGAGCCCTCTCGCTTGTGAAACAAGCGCGTCACGCAGTACGCGTAGACTTTGTAGCGCGATGCACTACTGGGTCGCGCGCGCATCAAATAATGCTTCTCTTCGGTAGATCGGCGAGATGCACCACTGTGCCTCACCGAGCTGCGAAGGATTGACATCGTGAATCAAGCGTAGACTCATGGCTTGTATCACGCCGTGACCCTCACGGTCGTTTCACTATGGTGCAGAGTTTCTACGATACAGGGGAGCCGCGCACTTACCTGAGGACCCCAGGCTATTATGTTCATTAACATATATAACCAAATAAATATTTGGCGGAATGACAGGCTGAGCGCGGCCCAGTAACCGCGCACCCGTGCGCGGCGGGTCATACAATGTATGATAACTCATGGCTAGGTGAACTAATTATATTAGGTGAATGTAAGGAAGCCAGGGTGATTCGTAATTTGTCCATTGTTAATAAACTTGCCAAGCGCGCACTACTTTGTAGCGCTTGCCGGTTGCATCGGGCTACTATTTCGAGAAGAAAGCGGCGCGCGCTACTTCGAAGAAATTTAGACGACCGGGCCCACAGTGCATCAGGGCCTTTTCACAGGAAATAAACGTTTATGAATATCAAGTACGTACGCGCACATGTCTAAGGTTAATCACACCCCTCAAATTACCTGGGGACCCTTGTCATACGTTGTATGACCCGCCGCGCACGAGTGCGCGGCTCATATGTAACACCCTGAATCGATATTTCTGCGACATGGTCATGAGAAAGTTTCAAAAACCAGGTTTTAGTGGTTGCCCAATGCCCTTATTGGGCCCTTATCATCTTCCACTTTTTAAAGGTTCACCGCAAATGCTCTCGACCGAATCCAATCGTTTTGAAAGGTGGCAAGGTAACTCGGACATCATTGCATTTGCCTTCTTATTTGATGCTATCATATGCAGAATAAAAATTCATTTTCTTGTCATCGTGACGTCATCAGATTCTGTCAGTATTTCAGTAATCAGTCAAGATCAAAGATGGTTAGGTTAAGTTTCATTGCATGAACAGTGTCGAGTTGATTTTACTAAAATGCATCCCCAGAGGGCACCCAAATCCATGTTCTCGTGTCGGTCTATCTTGTTCCATCTTTAAAAATACGTCTGCAACATGCGCTTATCCACTAGTTAGTAACGCGCGAAAAACGTGACAAGCGCGCACATGTGTGCGCGCAAGGCACCTTCTCGTACACGCCATGTTCGAGAAGGGGCCTTACGAAAAATATATGTTTTTAGCTTATATTTTCTTCGTAAGGCCCCTTTAGGCATTCATTATTGCATCTAAATTATTTCACTTGCATTAGGTTTAGAAATTTATTCTCTGGTTAACAGATTTCAAATGTTTAATTAATTTGTAGTATGACAGTAAGGTATATTTAAGAAGTTATTTAATTTTGCTTGGGCTGTTGTGTTGACTGTTGGGGTTTAGTGGTGGTATGGAATTTGAATTTTATATAAATTTACACTATGAGGTTGGGGCATTTTGCATAGTAAATATGGTTACTACTCCTATAAATCATATTATTGGATTGGTATTCGATTTCTGATTATTTCCCTAGGAATATGATTATTATATCTCAATTTGGCTTTAGGTAGGGTGCCCCGCTAAAAGAACTGGATTCTTCCAGGAAGCATCCCGTGCACAGAGCTTGGTCTACATATATATTAAATTATTAACCATTCATTCTGTAAGTGCACGAAAATTTATTTCAATCAATCAATTCTCGTACACACGCCATGTTCGAGAAGGGGGCACTATCCGTCGCGGAGTCGAGTCCGCGGCGGAGCCGCCGGACTTCGAGCGGACTCCGGCGGAGCCGCCGGACTCCGAGCGGACTCCGGCGGTGCTCCGCCAAAATGTATTTACAGTGGACTCGAGTACATTTTGGCGGACTCCGAGCGGAGCCGAGCGGACTCCGAGCG